AGCCTGACTGGAGTAGGGTCCAGAGATAATGGTAAGAAGGGAATTTAAGTCAGAGGCAGTTCTTTGAAGGAGACACCCTGAAGCTGGGTACTGAAGACTTCTTGTAATATATCTTTGCCACATCACAGGAAAAGGTTTAACATTCACTTTTCCATAACATATACTATTGCTTTTTCCAGGGTTTTTTGTGTGTTGCCTTAAGCATTTACTCCAATTCAAGAGAAAACTCTGATGGGAGAAACAAAGATTTTTAATCTACTTAAATGTTAGCTGTTTTATATTCTAAAAGCTAAAAAAAATACATATAAGAAATCATTCAAACCTCCATATGCCAACATTCTAAGCTGAACTGGACTATATTTTTGCACAGCCTTTGTTAAGCGAACATAATTTCACATTTATAAAATGCTACATGAATTCTGTACTCCTGAAAGTAAGCTTCTTAAAATACTGAAATTTCATACTCAAAATAGACTTTGTTTCTAAAGTAAATGTTATGAGATATCTATTTCAAAACTGTATTTGTTTATCTCTAAAAAGTGTTGACTGAATGCCTACTATGTGAAATGCATATGTGGCACTGGGAACATAGCAATTAATAAACAGATAAAAAACCTGGCCTTCAAGATACTTAATGCTCAAGAAAAAAATCCCTTGTAGTTACTGAAATAAATGAATGAAACATATAGCCTGTTAGGTGGCGAGAGACTGGGTAAAAGAATTAAGGAAGGAAGAGGTGTAGATGATGCAGACGGGGAGCAATTTTAAGTAGGCTGGCCAGGAAAGGCCCATTTCAGAGGCAGTGTCACATTTAAGCCCTAGGAGATGCTCAGGTGTACCTGGGAAGGGGCATCCCCATAGAAGGAGTAACAAATACTAAGGCCAGAATGGCTGGGGTGCAACGAGCTACAGGGGAGAGGAAGAGAGAGCAAAAAGGTTTGAGAAGTGACGGGGCAGATCATGGAATTGTAAGCCACTGGGATGTGGGATGGAGAGCCGCCAGAGGGTTTTACTTGAAACATTAATGTGATCTGGCTTACTTTTTATATTGAGATATAATTCACACTATCATAAAATTCACCCTTTTAAAGTACGCAATTCAGTGCTTTTAGTTGTCACAAGGTTGTGCAACCATTACCACTTCTAATTCCAGAACATTTTCATCATTACCCCAAAAAGAGACCCCATTACCCCTTGGCAGCCAGTCCCCTTTTCCCTGTTCCCTGCAGGCCCTGGCAACACTCATCTACTTTCTGATTCTATGGATTTGCACATTCTGGTCATTTCACACAAATACAATCACCCTATGCGGCCTTTTGTCCCTGCTGACTTCTTGGGTCTCTGGCTGCTAGGATGAGAATAGGTGGAAAGGAGACAAAGCCAGAAGCGGGGAGGCCAGCACAGAGGTGGAGGCGATAATGCAGCTGAGGGATGAGGAGGACTTGAAATAGGATGGGAAGCGAGATGATGGGTAATGGCTGGATCTTGGGTACATCTGTACAGACTGGATGTCGGGTATGAGAAAGTAAGCCAAGGATAACTCTTGGGTTTTTGGCTTGAGAACTTGAGAAGATGGAATTGACGTCACTTTAGAACGCAGAGGAACTGGTGGGCTGGCTGGGAGCAGACACTAGGAGCTGGATTACGGAGGTGGTGTTAATTCAATCTGGGATACCTACTGGCCTTCCATGTGAAGATACCAAGAAGGCAGCTGGATATGAGTCTGGAATTCGAGGAGGGTCTGGGCTGGAGATCTGAATCTGGGAATCAGAGACTGGGAGGCGGTAGTACCACGGAACTAGATGAGATCACCAAGGAAGCGAGCGATTAGAGAACAGAGAAGAGATTCAAGGCAAAGAGTCCTTAGACCTGTCAATGTTTACAGGTCAGAGAGATGAGGAGAAACCAGCAGAGTGAGGTGACATCAGTAACGTGACGGACCAAAGGAGTCTTACAAAGCAAATGCAAACACTTGCCATGCAGGGTGCTAGTGCTGCTGAAGTTCACACAAGGTGACGACTGAGAATAAACCACTGGACTTGGGAGCACGCAGGCGCTCGGTCACAGCCCACGACCGTCCACCCTCTCCTCCTGCTCACTGCCGGCCAGCCACACTCACTCCTGCGCTTGCCGCTTCACCCGCTGAGTGCGTGCCTTCCCCGGTGGGGCTTTGAGAGGAGCAAAGAACGGTCTGAGTGGAGTGGGGAGGTCAAAGCCTGACTGGAGTAGGGTCCAGAGATAATGGTAAGAAGGGAATTTAAGTCAGAGGCAGTTCTTTGAAGGAGTCTAAGTTTTCTAACAGGGTGGAGAGAAATAGCTGTAATGGGAGGTGGGGTAAAGAGAGGGCCGTTTTAAGATGGAAGAAATAAAAATAGATTCCTATGCTGAGGGGACAAATCTCACAAAGAAGGAAACAAATGATAAGGCAGCGAGTGGAGAACTGAGAGGTGGGTTAGAGGGGACAAAGTTAAACACATGTATCTGTTTCTTAAATAGTCAATGATTAAAATTTTAATCATCTGATGCGGGGAAAAATAAGTAAGGACAGCTATTTTCTTTTTTTCCAGAAGACATGAAAACCTCCATCATTTAAAGTCACCTGGATTTACTTTTCAAAGCTGAAGATACTGGATGAATCGTACACAGAGGAGAAGGCCAGGGCCAGGCTCTGGGCAGGGAGTCCTGATTTCAAAGACGATGACAAGCGACAATATCCTGGAAACTTCTTTTGACCTCCTTTTTCGTCCATAATATACCCATTAAAACCAACTTGTCCTCTCTACCTTACAGAATTTACAAGCTGATCAGATGAAATACGCAAGCGTGACTCTGAGGTGGGACGTTCCTCTGAGGCATTTTTATTGACACTAAGATAAGGAAGAAAGGCACATGCTTCCTCTTACTCCAACGTCCTACACGTCAGCCCCAAGGAGAAAGAAGGCAAAATGGAAAATTCTGGAAAAGTAATTAAAGCATAGAAAGATAGATGTTTTCTAGTTATCTTTGTATTTAAAACATATTCATTAAGTTGTACATGAACTATGCCTTATTTTCCATCTTAAAAAAAATAACAAGAAATCACTGACTTTAGATTCAGCTGAGCCTGGGGCAATGACAGTAGTGCACTAGATCTGAGTGTGGCCCTCAAGCAAGACAATGTTAAAAGAAAAAGGTAGGACCTAGTATCTTTCCATGAATCTCTTACTCTCTTTGTTCCCTACCACTTGCCATGATCAACTCAAATCAAAGACTATTTGATCCTCGGTTTCCTGCCCAATAGGAAACATTAGTGGGTGTTTTAAAAAGAATTTACATTTTAATTTTTATCTACTAAGGAATTTTTCATTCTGGCGGCTTTGTGTATGGCCCATACACCATAGCTCTCTTTAAAGAAAATGTATCTTACAGGGTATCTTCATCTAGCCATCAACTTTTCTCCTTATTTCTTCAGGTAAACTAAGACACAAAGGTGTGTGCTTACTTTTTCTAATGTGAATGAGTATCTACCTTTATCAAGTAACTGTTAACAAAAGTTAAGTCTAAGAGGGAATTTATAGCAGATACCCAAGTTGAACTGACCTTTTTACTCAACTCCCTCTCACACGGGATCAGAAAACTTAGGTAAGACGTTAGCGGTCACAAGATCTCAAACACCATATAGGAAAGTGTGAAAAGACAGAATATACGAGGACATACACATCATTTTCCTTTAAAAGTGGATATCTATCTTTGTATACTTACATTTATGACATATTATTTATATATCAATAATACATTTGAAACTGATTCTTTAGTCAGAATTCTCATCTCCCACTAAAACCCCAGTTGCTCTTATTTAAACAGAATAAATTCACTTTACAATGGTGTGTGTTATATAGAGGTTCTAGGAACACAATACTCTTGGCACCTAACTACATCCGCCGCAAACTCTCGCACACTCCAGCATTTATCTGGGAATGACCAGTTTCAGCTAAGTGGTTTTTTTTTTAAGTTAAAACATACCACTTAAATGATTTCAAGCATCAGTTTTGATTGGAATATTTCTGAAGTTTTGTCATAATACAAATTCCCTTAATATGTTATTATAATAATTAACAATATAATTACTATGTTGTAGTTAACATTACTACAGTGTTAACTCATCTTGATTACTTAGGGTCAGCATGATGAATACTCTGTAACAGACTACATTATAAAATCTTCATAAACTCAGAATTTGCTGGGCATGGAACTATTTACCCTCCTCTTAGGCAGAACCAGGCTACACTTTTTCTCAGATGACAGTGTCTGCCTCTTACAGCTTTCTGCCTCCCTTGCCTTGTCAGGAGGCTACCAGTCATTTTCTTGCTCCTAGAAATGAAACACACATGCAGGCTAGTGTGCAGCAGGCTCCCCATCTCCATGCAGCTACTGTTTGATTCTAAAAGGGGTAGAAAGAGCTTCTGTCTCAAAATGAAGTGTCCCTGCGACAACCCAGCTTCATGGTCTTGCACAAAATACTGAATCACTTTAGAAATCTGTTGACTTTTGTCTATTCAATGAAAGGAATGGCCTGAATGATCTTTTAAGTCTCATCCAACCTTAAGACTTTATGATAAATCTCGCTAAGGGCTGGGAAAACTAACATCAAGGTTCATTAGAACTATATCGAGGAAGGAATAGAAAGCCTCTGAGAAAGGACCTCAGAGGATCCTGTACATTGGTGCATGGAATTTTAGTTTTGCTGTGTCACAGACATTTGAGTCTTCTAGGTTCTTTGCTATATTTCCAACAAGTAAGGTTCTGCATCAGATAAATCATGTCCAGATAAATTAGACAGAATTACATGAAGAGCTTTTTAAAAAATAAAATTAAATATGACTCTTAAATACAATTCTTTCATATAAAAGAGCAAGAAGAAATTTTCAAAAACCCAGAGTAAATTATTCCTTCATGAAAACTTGTTTCTAAATGATGTCCATTTGATGTATCAAAACACTTCATACTAAAAAATGATTTACCTATAACTACGTCATGCCCATCAACCAAGCCAGCAGAGAAGAGCTCCTGAGAAACACCATCTGCCGTGTCTGTCCAATTACATAATGAATATGTATTAGTAACAATAAAATAAAATAACAATAAAAAGCAACAAACCAGTTCAATGTAAAATACATATCTTTCATTTATGAAAATCATGCTCATGTGTTTTAAAATTCAACAATTCTGATTCTATCAAGAGGAGAAATCAGAAGCCATGTGAAATACATTTTGCCATATACAGTTTGCATCTTGCTATTTATTCAACAGAAGTTGTATAAAATTATTGTGTCATTTTTGGTGAACCAAGAAACTTTCGCGCTTTGGCTACTGTCTGAATTAATGCTCACATGCACTTCTAGAAGTTAGCTCATAACTGGTCCCTGTGACACTGCTTTTCTTTCTTGCCAAGGTTAATTCCAGCCATCATCAATCCTTTTCTCTCATGAATAGCTACTGAGTCAGAATTTATGGCAAAGGTTGAATAGGTAGCATTTGATACAAGCTTATATTTGGTACAAACAGCCTATGAGCTTGTTGGACTATTAAGAAGAGCTATTTAAATTTATGCTATTAAGAGCCTCCTTTAACATGACATTGATCATTTGATAGCAACAGATTCATTCTCTTAGAAAATGTGGTTGAATAAAAGAATGTAGTTTCTCAAAGATAAGTGACAGGAATTAGCAATCTCATAAAGATGGGACTGAAAAGGCTGTAGCAAGTGAATATAACTGAAATAACTTAATTGAAAGGTTATGAAGGAACATAATAGGGAAAGTCTGTTTGAAGACTTTGTAAAAAGAAATTGATAAATTGCAATGTGCTCAAAATAACCATCATGAACCCTTGTATTTACAAGGAAGATGATGTGGTCCCAAAGGCCTTCTGATATTCTCACAATCATCCAGAACCAGAGCTGGATAAAAACAAACTGGCTCAACAGCGGTAATAACCTCGATGAAAGTTTGACTTAAATGTCTTCCAAAGATAGGAAGGCACTGCAAGCAAGTACAGCCGCTGAATCACCTAAACGGAATTGCAGTTCACTATGCTAAAGGATGCCCTCAGCACAGACAAGGTTCCCCAACTTCATCTGTGTTGGCTTGCGTGTGTGTGTGGTGACTAAGTCTGAGTGTGCGTGCGTGTGTGTGTGTGGGCATATGCGCACACACTTGTGTGAATTATGTAGCTGAAGGCACACTATCTTCCACAATCCCTGGGCTTTAATGTGTTGATTTATCAGCCCAGTGTCTGATGCACAGGGATTTCTCATTAAATGGTGTAGCCGTGATGATGAAGCAGCCAGCAATCATCTGAAAGGCACCTTCCTTAAGTTTCTGTGCACTTTCTCACTTTCACACATGGCCCAATTTCCCAAACATCCAATAAACATTTGAGAGTCAATGTATACTCTTTGTACTTCCAGAGAAATTGTGGTATTCTATCACTTTACTCATTCAATTTCATAAAGAATGAAATAGAATAAGGTGAAAAAAAAGGAAAAGAAAAACACAGGAAACTTACTAAACTGTGCAATTCCATGTAAGGTAGGCTTACCTGGGGTTTTGTACTCACTGTTAGAAGTACAAAAACACCTTAAAAATTCTCTTAGGGATAAAAATGATCCCTTAGCATGGAACCTAGGGTAGCACAATGAAGCGCTCTACTCTGAACATGACTCAGCTCTGTGAAGCTGGCTAGAACATTCAGCCTTACAATCTCAATATTTTGGTTTGGCTAGCAGGGGTTTTTTAACAAGTGAACCTGAATGTATTGAGACAGAACGCTCTGATTTCCTGAAGCCCCTGCAAGCATTTGAGTTTCTAACTACCCGGTGATAAACTAGCAGGGAGGTCAAAGCAATTAACTCACTGACAAGATACAAAGCTAGAAAGTTTCAGGTTTTCAAAATTCTAGCAAATATGATTTATGTAATCAAATCAAAATTTACATGAAATCTAGGACATAAAATAATTACAGCGTGTTATTAGCTTATATGTATTAACAGATACAAATATATGAGATGAGTATACTTTAGGAATATACTCAAGATAGACATCAAGGCTGTTTTCATGTACATAAAAATCTGAAACCAGAGGCCAGGGAAAACAGTTAACAGTCTTATTAGCATTAGCATCTGATTTTCACTTATCTAGGTTGTTCTGGTTATAATCTCAATAGTGAAAATAGCAATTTTTATTTTAATAACTAGTCTTGTGGTCTCCAAAGGCTGTTCATATATGTTATTTACCCATTAGTAAACCAGAAATTACTTGAGATTCTCTGGCATAGCAGCACTTGCCAGGTGCTAGAGATGTCAAGAAGTGAGACATGGTTCTATCACTTCCACAGATCTGGGAGCTTAAAGAGCAACCAGTCTGGCCTGTAAGCCATTTTAATAACTATTTAAAATATTGAAATTATATTACGTTGCAAGACTCACATCGTTCCTACCACGCTTAACAGCAGAGGCTGCAGCAATTTAGAGGCTAAGACACTCCACAACATAGGCTTTGTGCTATGTGAACTAGGAACAGACGCAGTGCCACGTTTTGGTCTGATGTCATTCATTACTCGACCCTCATTAGGGCTGCTGTATGTTCCTGATTACACTCATCATAATGTTCTCTAGGCCCTACATCACTATGTACCTCTTGTCATGGTTGAACTAATGCATTTAATTTATATGTGTATACATACTGTGGAGCACGTGTCACTGAAATTCACAGTCAGTATAGCTTCGTTTGAATTCCCCACAATTATCACAAATTCTTCCTTTCTTCCCTCCCTCCTTTGTTTTTAGAGAAAGCATTTTTGAATAGCAAATTATAACTACACACTTGCAATCAATTTCTGAAATGCTCTTTGCAGCAATAAAATACTAATTTCAATTAAAACTTACCTCTTCCTGGAGTAAATTCAAATCGTATGTCATTAAGTTCCTTTCTGGAGTTTCTGAAATACATAACATAGAGCACATTAAAATCTAATGAAGCAGAGTTTAATCAAACCAAATGTATTCCGATTTTTACAAGATGCTACTAATGCACAGAGAGCATTTTACAGTCTGGGTTACCTCCAAATGCTTCCTCATCTGGGAGGAGACAGTTATGACAATAATAAAAGGAGAAATTTATTGAATTGATTGAATTAACCTTATAAAAACAGACTCATATCACAAAACTCCAAAAATAAAATGTTCATTTTATAAGTTCCACACTAAAGCAGTAACTTTAAATATAACTTCATAACTAAAATTTTCAAAAGCCCTTACAGTAAATAATATACATTTTTCATATTTTACCTGGGAAATGGCATTTTATCAAATTATTTTTAGGTGAAAACAAACAGGATAGATACTCTTAGTGATGAAGCTCATGACAGCACTTTGCTTAAATCATGCGAAAACAAAAATAAAGTACGGATTTTGTCATAAAAAATTTTATCCAAATAGTAGGGACCACTGAATGCTATGAAATTACCCATTGAATATATTAAGCTTTAAATATAAAATGCTTCCATTAAATTTTTATGCATGTATACTTCAAGAATTAAATGACACTGGGGAAATATGGACCATGTAAATATCTAAGATATGCATTTTCAATTCATATTAATTTCAAGAAATGATAATAAGGGACAGTGAGCTGTAATTAGAATGGTTTTAAATTCTCCTAAGAACAGAGTAACTGTCAACAGATGCCAGAATTAGTTAATAACAACACCTTAGGTCGTCAACTATTTTTGCTCAGCTGCCAAAGGTGTCCAAGACAGACACAGACGGCCCGAGTACCTACTCATGAACCTCCTCCTTCGGTGCTGGCGGTCCGCTCTACAACTCTGGTAGGGGAATATCTCCTGGCCTCTACGTATAGTGACCAAATCATGAGGCCAGTCTCTGGGCCCTTTTTGGTCCACAGTCTGACTTTGGTTCTTTAGGTCATACCACATCCTACCACACTAAGTGCTAGGAGGCCCAGAGAGGCGACAAGGGCATGGTACCTACCAACAGACAGCCCTACCCCCGGTACCTGCACAAGCTGGCCTAAGTCTGACACCCTTCCACAAGCACAGAAGTAAAGGGTCAAGAACTCAAGAGACACCCAAGAGCACTTAAGGGCCTTGACCCACTCTGCATCTCTTCTCAGGTGTCTCCACCTTGACTTTATCATTACTCCTCTCAGAGACAGAAAAGGACTAGAGCATGTTAGCAATTCCTGTAGCTGGGCTTCTTTTAGGACCTTCTGAGAATGTGAAAATTGTGAGAACTGTGGACTCTCACTCTAAAAGTGTAGACACATGATGGACATAGGGAACTGCAGACAACTGTACACGGTTCAGAGATCATCTTGGACCCGAGATAAGCAACTCTGCCCTGCAGGTGGAACAGGTCATGAGCAATCAGTGCCTCTAGCGGAAGGACTGCTGGCACGGGGCGTTGTTTCAGCAGCCTGAATTTTCTTCATCAACTACCTATGTCATCACACATTTACACAGGGCTTTCCTACACCTCCGCAGTCCTCAGATGTTCTGGTCTTGGCACCCCTTTAGGTTTTTAAATGCAATTAAGAAGATTTGTTTATACTGGTTACATTTTTCAATACTTATTGCATTGAAAAGGAAAACATAAATTTCAAGACACTTATTTGAGAATGACAGTAATCCATCACCTAATAACATAAAAAAATTATTTAATGAAATTTGCTTTACAAAAGAAAAATCAGTGAAAAGCAAGTGCTGTTTTCTATGTTTGTATAACTCTGTAATGTCTGGCTTAAAACAGATGGATTCTTTTATTTGCTTCTGTATTTAATGTTATAATATCACATGCCATGTAGCCAGCCACTGCAAAATTCCACTGTATGGTGCGTGAAAGAATGAGAGTAAAAAGAGCAAATGATTTCTTAATATTATTGTAAAAATAGTTTTGACCTCTTGGGCTCCTTGAAAGGGTCTCAAGGACCCCCAATAGTTGCAAGACAACACTTTGAGAAATGCTGGCATCAAATCTCATGAATTAAACCTCCTCTGGTTCCAAAAAACAACCTTTGAGTTATGCAAAGTAGGTATTCATTGTTTTCCATTTCTTAGGTGAGTATATCCAATGGCTTTTCCAAGTTAACAAATTTAATGAGTGCCACAGTGAGGATGGATAATTCCATACTGGAAATAATCTAACACAAACATAAATGCTCAATCTCTTCCACTTTTGAGAAAAAACATTTTTCCCTAAGGTTTCACATGTTCCTATATTAAGATGAGCAAGCATTCAATTTATGTAATAGCCTTGGTTTTTTTGTGAGCTATATGTCAGCAAAGGTTGAATTAGAACTAAAAAAATCAGCCCTAGGAAAGCAAGTATTTACAGTGTATTTAATAATGACATGACATTATGAGCAGGTGAAAATGAATGAAAAGGAATTTGATTTGATGCTAATTTATGTCACTGCCCTCTTTCCTTTTCTTTCTTTTCATCAGTCTTGTCTAAATCTGTTTGTTCCACTAGGTTATGAAAATAGAGGTGTCAAGAACCATGCCCAGAATATCATCATGCACATCCTGATTCTTTAAATATTAATACCACAAAAGTAATATCCAATACCCATAATCTCTATCTTCATCAACTGGGGCTCAAGTTCGGGAGGTTGCATAGTCCAGTCTTCCTTTTATGACTCTGAACCTAAAATACATGCCTTTGAAAAGATCACAATGATTGATTGCGAGTAGTAGACATGTCCCATCAGGATGAAATATGGCTGGAAAAATGCCTAATTGGATATAACTACTGAAGGTCATCCTTTTATAAAGAATTAATCTTTTCAGACTCATACTTAACACCTTTAATTGAAAGTACATTTACTTTCATTGATATGGCACAGGATACTCTTGATTTTGGGGAAGCTGAAAATAGATATGATTTAAGGCCAGAAACAAAGTCTGTGCAACTGTACAGAGGGAGCGGTAAAAACTTGAGAGTAACAGCCTCTAGACCCAGGCTATCTTTGATAACTCTTACTAAAAACTCTTTTAATCCTTAAAAAAAGAAACAAAATGCAAACCAAACTCTGAACATTTGCCAAGGCACACCTCTTATTTCTCATTCTATGTTCATATTGTATCACAAATACCAATGTCTACAAGGCTGAGGCAGAAAATTAATTTTTTCAAATAGGTCATATAATCAATCACATGGTGTAGAAACCGAAAGGTACCATACGGTATTCTGGAAATCTTAGCCCACCCACTCCTGTCACTCAACTACCTGGTTTCCGTCTCAGGGGCGATCAAAGCTCTCAGCTTTTGGTGCACCCTTCCTGAGATATTCCATGCATGTATTAGCAAATATATATACACAGATCCCTCTGAGCCTGTTTAATACAAAACCCACTGCTCTGTACCTTGCCTTTCTTTTTAAACTTAATAATATGCCTTCAATTTCTCCATATTGGTTGATAGCTTCCCTAGTCTTTTTTTTTTTATAGCTGCACAGTATTCTGTTGCATGCTATATCCTTTTTTTAACCAGTTCCCATTCTATGAACAGACTGTTTCTTTCACTATTATAAACAATGCTTCAATGAATAACCTTGCTCTTACATCATTTTGCATATAAATGAATATAAAAACAAATGTCTAGAAGCCAATTGCTTGGTCAAAGGATATAGGCCATTTGCAAACTGACAGATATTGTCACAGTCTCCTTCATTTAAGCTATAGAGTTTACACTCTCACTCAAGGCAATTTGCAAGCAACACTGTAGGAACTTTAAGTGAGCAAAGCAGGAAATGTTAAAAAAATAAATAAAAACAGGGAGATGTGAGGACTCTGCCAGCTGGAAAGGAGGTAACCTCTATTCAGCACCAGCTGGTTAGGCTAGGCAGGAATGTGGGCTCAATTTTCTTAAACACTATTTTTTTTGCTATGTCCATTCCAAGTGAGAAGTTAGGAGATACAGCTGAGCTGGGCGTGTGGAAGGTTTCCCTCTGGCTCTTTCAATTCGCCTGCAAGGAGCAAAGTGAACACCCAAAGGCAGCTGGCTAAGGGGGGGTGGTGATGACGAATACCCGGGTGAGCACAAAACCCTGCCTGGAGGCTAGGGTGCAGAGACATTTTACAGCATGTAGCATTTTTCTATACCTCTGAATGTACCATGTCAGGACACTCTGCCAGAGTTACTGCTCCTGAAGGGCTCCAAAGCCAAATGCCAGTTCAAGACTACTTGCATTCCTTGCCAGCGAACATATGGGAGCACGCGCTAAGTACCAGATGTGATCAAAGGCGCAGAAGTCCCAAGACCAGTTCTTATTTTCAGAGGACATCATAAACTACGTCATTGGCATTGCGAGCTCACACAGGAATGCTCTGGGGTGTGGTTGAAAGTCAACTGTTTCCTCCAGCTCTTAGGTTGAAGGATACAGTCGGGGTACCAACACCCAGGGTTCCTATAAGAGCAGCAGGTACAATGCTTCCCAGGCAGCCACAGGCGGCCCCTCCCTTCTGGCTGCAGAGAATTTTCTTAGCCAGCATCTCTGCTATTCCTAACTTTCACCTGAGAGTCCAGGTCAGGGCGAAGCTGCTGGTGTCTAAGCAGATCCAAAGGGACTCCCATGCACTCCTGGACTCCTGGAGCGTCCACCTCTGTTGGGGGCAGCATGTGGGCCTTACAAACAGGCTGGGTCAGGAATCAGGACACCATTTGAGTTTACCTTGCTTCTTTCCTCCACAGGCACTGAACTGAAGTCCTCCCCCAAGGACTGAAGCAGAGAGAAGGACTGCAGGCCGCGCATGTGCCAGCACTTCACAGATGTGGTCTCATTTTGGGCTCAGAACAAGCCTAGGGATGAATGACTATTATCCCAGTATTTTACAGGCAAGGAAACCGAGGCTTAAAAAGGGTAAAGGCTATATACAAAATCACGTAGCGGAAGAGCAGGCTATTGCATGAATGTGTCTCGT